AGCTATACCTTATCACTGTTGACAGCTATACGAATATAATTCTGGAGTTGTAATAAACCCAGTGTTCAATAAGGCTAATTGAAGTGTTTTCATGCAAAGAATACAATTATCATTACACTAATGGTTGTTAGCTTTTTAATTATATTATCCAAATGTACACAAGCTGGCAAACCAGGCAGTAAGGCTTAGGAGTCTATTTAAAGGGAATGATTGTGGTGGGGAGTTTGGACAAGGATGTTTTTTGCTCGATAATATAAAACACAGCATGATATAAAAGTAGGCTAGTATAAGTGTTTACACTAGCATGATGAATATTATAATGTTTAGATCAGTGTTTGCAATGAAATACTGTGTTCGTGGAAATCTGTTCAAACGTAGATGTAAATAATGTGGTCACAATAATGTTTCATAGTAAGGAGCGGATCGATCGCTTCAATAAATGTTCTCTGCACGTGCTGTGAGCTTGGGTCTCTTGCGCTGTGCATTTGAAAAGCAAAATGCGCCAAACATTAGGCTACTCCCATCTCATTTCATAACGAATGGAAACATTTGAAGAAACACATGATAATCCGTATATTTTTCTCTAGTGTAGTGTACTAAAGTTTACTATAAAGTAAAAATTATTATTAGTTATTATTTTATGCAGTTCTACAAGTATATGCCTACAAGGCACAACAAACCTGGTGTTCTTTCTATATATATATATTTTTTTTAAATAGAAAAATCACAATTATTATTTTCCCCAAATTGTGCAGCCCTAGTTGCTCCTGATATCCACGTGTTCACAGTTGTATTTTTTTACAGGGACCAGATGCCACTGATGAGTCCTGCTGACTTAAACATTCACACAAATCTCTGTACATGAACACGGTAAAATAAAAACGCAAACACCTTGGAACTGTCAGGTATATTGAACAGGAACTGTTTCAGGAATGGCACAAAGCTGTGTGACTTTTCAAGTCTCTGTCTTTAGATCAGTGGCTACATTACATGCAACTAAATAATCTGTTAGTAATCGAATTGACGGCCCAATAGACACCTTATTTGATCCGATTAAAGGGATAGTTCCCCAAAAATTAAAATTAGCCCATTATTTACTCACCCTGAAGCCATCCTAGGTGTATATGACATTCTTCTTTCAGACAAATACAATCGGAGTTATATTAAAAAATGTCCTAGCTCTTCAAAGCCTTATAATGGGAGTCAATGGGTATATGTTTTTGGAAGTCCATCAGAGCCTTGAAACGGCTCTGCTGGGGTTAATAAAGGCCTTCTGGAGTGAAGCTATGCGTTTGAAATATCCATAAGAAAAATATCCATATTTAAAACTTTATCGACTAAAATAACTAGCCTCCGGCAGGCGGCTGTACGCATCGACTTATGCCAAAAGATTTACCCTTGAACTTGACGAACAACTGAATGACGAACGTGGTTGCCCAGCCCAGTTTGAACCACGAGAGGCGTCAAAGCTTACGCTACTCCTACGTCATACATCGTCAAGTGTTGATCCTTTGGCGTAGGTCGACTTGCATATGCCTGTCGGCCGGTAGCTAGTTTATTTTAGTTGATAAAGTTTTAAATATGGATATTTTTCTTACACGAATGCATCGCTTCACTTCAGAAGATATGTCTTTCACTTGTCAGTTCATGGCAACTAAACGAATGCGAGAGAGAGCAGATACAGAGCTCAACCTAGTTTTTATTGTAAGGTGAATTCAACAAGGCATTCTGTTTCTTTTAAGCAACAAAGGCTAAATAATTTGTTACAGTTGTTTTTTTTGTCATTGGTGACACGCAGCGACATACAGTTTTATTAGCTGTATGAGGTGTTTCTATCCTGAAACATTTAATATCGAGACCTGGCGCGTGCAGTGCGGGGGACCAAATAAACTTGAGATCCAGAGCGTCTGTGAGAGAGGCAAAGAAAAACGCCTGTTCTTAATTTATGTTGCTTTCTACTATTTTCATTTTGAACTGATTTAATTGTAGCATACACAGCACAGATGAAATTTCTTTGGCAATACAAATTTAAAATGTCGGAAAGAATATGATTTTCCATCCATACATCTTCTTCCGCTTATCCGGGGCCAGGTCGCGGGGGCAGCAGTCAGAGATGCCCAGACTTCCCTCTCCCTAGACACTTCCTCCAGCTCTTCCGGGGAGAACACCGAGGCGTTCCCAGGCCAGCCGGGAGACATAGTCCCTCCAGCGTGTCCTAGGTCTTCCCCGGGGTCTCCTCCCAGTGGTACGTGCCCGGAACACCTTCCCGGAGACATCCGGAACAGATGCCCGAGCCACCTCAGCTGACCCCTCTCGATGTGGAGGAGCAGCGGCTCTACTCTGAGCTCCTCCCAAGTGACCGAGCTTCTCACCCTATCTCTAAGGGATCGCCCGGCCACCCTGCGGAGAAAGCTAATTTCGGCCACCTGTATCCGGGATCTTGTCCTTTCGGTCATGACCCAAAGCTCATGACCATAGGTGAGAGAAGGAACGTAGATTGACTGGTAAATTGAGAGCTTTGCCTTGCAGCTCAGCCCCTTCTTCACCACGGCAGACCGGTACATCGACCGTATTACTGCAGAAGCTGCACCGATCTGTCTGTCAATCTTCCGTTCCATCCTTCCCTCACTCGTGAACAAAACCCCAAGATACTTAAACTCCTCCACTTGAGGCAGGAACTCTCCACCAACCTGAAGTGGGCAAGCCACCCTTTTCCAACTGAGGACCAGAATAAGAATAAAATCAGAATAAGATTTTAAATTTCCTTATAATTCCTTCAAATTTTTCCTCGTATAATACAGAAGAATGTGATTTGTAGCAAAAAACAACTACATTTCTAAAAGTCTCAGATGACAATATTTTTCCTTTTTATTTATCAGTTCATCCAGTTAAAGGTGCTACATCAACTAGGCTAAATATTCCTTGTTGTGTTTTTCTTTTCTTCTTTGTACAGGTTTACTCCAGTGGAACTTGCATTTTTTGCAGAATATGCAAAGACAATGTGCCCAGTTGCAAAGGCACTGGATGTTTTTCAGAGAGAAATTAGAAACCAGTGTGCAGATGGTATGGTTGGTCCCCACCATTACTCTACTAAGGACAAAGGTCCAGCACCTTCACGGGCCATGGACGTGACCTTCACCTCCAAGTTCTGTGAACCTTTGATTGCTGCACTTCTTTCAGGCCTTGTAAAACGCTTTGGCGAGATGCTTGCAGATCCAGGGCCGCAGCCATTCTAGTTACCAAATTTAAGACCTGCTGGACAAGTGACGAAAATATCCTCAAACTTAGTAAGTGTCACACTTCTCAACTTCCTCCTTAAGGCTTAATTATTTTTGTGAGATTCACACACATACATCATGATGAATCATCTTTAATCCAACAGGAGCACTGGAATCTCATCTTTTGGGTGAACTATGCTTTTAAAGGATAGTTCACCAAAAAATGAAAATTCTGTCATGAATTACTCACCCTCATGTCATTACAAACCCTTAAGACTTTAGTTCATCAACGCACACATCAGTTGTGGTCAACGGAAGTTTAAGCATGTTCTCGTGACATGCGAAAACCAATGAGGTTAATTCTCGTGTTACGCAGCACGTTTGACCTTCTGCTTATGTTCACTGATCAATGTTTATATGTGAATAAAAGCGATCTTGTCTTCTCAGAAAATGTTAACTAAACTGCTCAATTCATATGGATTAGTTTTTCGATCTCTTTATGAACTTTTTAAAGCGTCAAAATTAGGGGTGTCACGATTCTCCAAATCCTCGATTCGATTAAATTTTCGATTCTAAGGTCACGGTTCGATTCGATTCTTGATTTTTACATTTATTTTTTTTAAAGCCGAAACCGGCCAATCAGGATGCTCTCTGTCTTACATGCGATATATGAGGCACATATGCAAGGTCTCTCGCTCTCTCCCTCTCTGCCGTGCGCGCGGTTTGTAGCACAGTTTTTTCTGTCTCGCATGCGCACTCTTGCTCGCTCACTCTAGATTCCGGGAGATTTTAACTAATTTGCAGGCATCAGGGAACCGCTATCAATATGCGGGAGACTCCAGGAACTTCCGCAAGACTTGGGATGTCTGCAAACTGTGGCTTTTTTGAAGCGCGAACGTTGTCAACATAACTCACTGGTAATCCAAAAAGTTCAAGTTCTGTCGAAGTTCTGCATCTGCAGTTGCCATGCTATCTTTTGAATGGCTGTAGCTAAGTTAGAGGAGGTTGACCATAGACTTGCAGCACTTCAAAACGCATGTTTTTTTTCCCCGCTTGGCACGCATGCCGACCGGACGTGACATGGGGGCGTGGCAGCATCGACGATTACATTTTTTAATTCGAAGTTCGAGATTGTAACTTAATTTTGGTCGATTTCGATTTAAAATCGAAATCGTGACACACTTAGTCAAAATGGTAGTTGTGTAGCTGTCAATGGAGGGACAGAAATCTCTCAAATTTCATTAAAAATATCTTAAATTTGTGTTCCTAAGATAAACGAAAGTCTTAAACGTTTGGATCGACATGAGGGTGAGTAAATGGCAGAATTGAAATTTTTTGGTGAACTAACCCTTTAAGTCCAAATGTAGCTTGAGAATGTTGTTAAGTGCAAAAGCTCTCCCTCTCTCTCGGAGAGTAGGAATGAAGACTTGCGAAAGACATTACATACATACTGTCTTTATTGTTCAGGAATGCTCTATCAAAATGTATCATCTGATGCTGCTGATAAATATTAATCCAAGATATTGTATGTGTTTTTTATATTTGAAAATGCATTACTTGCATGATTTTAAAACACATTCTAAAACAAATACATTTTACATCTATTTTCATAAGTATAATTTTTTTTATTGGATATATACTCTATTGCTATACAACTTGAAACTTTTAGTACACTGGCACAAACTAATCTTCATGTACTCAAAAAAACGAAAAAAAATAATCAGGATAAATCATATCAATATACAAATTCAAACATACAAATGCTTTACTCCTGCCGAAAGCTTCTACATTCTTCAGCAGATCAATGTCCGGCACTGTACAAAGTGTTGATCTTCATGCCATCGATTCGTCTTTATCCTTGAATGCTTTCATCCGTGCCTGTTTAAATCAGGATCAGAGAGAAACACAACATTGTTTGAATCTTGTAATGACAAATTGTATTTACAAATGACTTGTCTGAGAACAGGCCCATCACCAAGGGGGGAATTGGGGGGCAGACGATTTAATAAATAATTTATCTATTTAAATAGCGCATCTCCTTAGACTTTCACTGGAGTTGGTTCACCCTTCGCCTATAATCAGAAAATTCATATTTAACGCATTATTACACAAAACGGAACTTGAAACATAATTATAAATGACTAATCACTTGGAGACCCGCCACCTTCCACTATTTTAATGGGGAGTAGGCTTCACTTAAGTTTTTGTTACACATCAGTATGCTACAGATACATATTTTATTGCTATTTGGTATGTATTGTACAGGGCTTAGGCCAGGGAAGTCACTGCTGTTCCTACAGGACCACTGGGAAAATGTTCCCTGAACATGGAAGGAAGGGACGCTGCGGAAGCCACATCCTGCCCGAAGAGAGGTAACATGTGGAAAATACACATGAACTGAGCGGATGACCGGGCAGTACAACATATGGAATGTCACTGGAGTGGCTCGAGCCTATGAAAGGGTGGAGACTCAAACGGACAGTGAGGGAAGACACGGGCTTGTATGCACTGGTGCTCGCCGCGGGGAGCCGTACTGTGGAAGAATACATATATGGGATCGCCATAGGGAACACAGCATATGGACCCAGCCTAACACGTTCCACCAGTGCATACGAGTGATAGGCCTGGCTGCGGATGCACGTATCCAGTCCATAGGAGGGGAATGGCGCAGCAAGCCGACACAACGAACCGGGCTTACAGTGAAACTGGCTTCATTTGAAGGGAGCCCTCGGGAAGCAGCGGTTCGACACATAGGCTAGTTTTCTAGCGAACATGGTGGGTGTCGCCCAGCCCCCAACTCTATTAAACGTCTTTTGAGTGAATTCCAGGCACAAGTCGTTGACCGAAAGCGAGCAAGTCCTTACCCTCTAGTAGAGACCATGCGTGCAGGAGAACTGTTTTAAAACAGAATTTTTAACTCACTGCCTGCAGTGGCGGTCTCTGCAGTGCAGCACCAGAGATAGGCCCAAGAGGATAAAGAGGGGCGCAGGGATTTCCCTTGCTCCCTCAGGAACCTGACGATCAGGACGTGCAACCCATGCATCTGCATCATGATGTGCGTCAAGAAAACAGAGGCGACATCATTTTAAGGGTGGAGGAACAGCCTACTCCAACCCATCTTGTAGGAAAGAGAGCACTGAAATGACCGAACGCTCTCAGGATCTCCTCACGGACAGAAGAATCACTCAAAACGAATAGGTTCCACTTCTAATTAGCGAAGCACAACTTCCTCTTTTTTAGGGGGTGCTTGGGAACTGCCACATATTCCTGTGATGGCAACCTGAACCTCCACGTCCATTTTTTTCAACGTGGGTGCCGTCATGCCCCGTCCATGAAATGTATTCAGGGGAAGTCAGGAAGGCTGTCGAGGGAAACTAGGTCTGGTTGGGCCAATAAGGGGCAACTATCAAGACCTGCTCCATTACTGACCTAGCACAGTAGGTGCAAGCGGCATGCGCTTACAAAACAGGAGCTCTGCTCAACACTAAATGTGAAAATCACTGAGCTTCAGTAGCATTTCTGCTCAACACACAATGAATCACATAGCCGCTTTCTTAGAAGGCTCACTGGTGAACGCATTTCTGAGGAGCCCTAGGGTCAGCTGAGAGCCAGCTGAGTCCGGAGAGGCAAACAGATGTAACTGTGTGGCCCCGAATTGGTCCCTACCCAGCTGGACAGCCAGGGGATGGAGTCTCCACTCTCCCTGGCCATAGCTGTCGTGAGGCTCGGCGGCGGCACGATTGAGCAGGCCGGAAGAAATAGTGGAATGAAGCGACCTCAGAAGCTTCTGACTCCAAGGAGGAGGTGACGGGCGAGTTGTGACATGTGAGGGAAGCTTAGCGCAACGGTCGCGATGTTGTCTTTTTAAAGCGAGATGAACTGCCAACTTGAGGTAATGAATACCAATGCAGTCGGAGGTCGCCCAAGCCTCCGTTAAAGCACCCTTTGTACATGCCCCTCAGTCAGTGTTAGTGGACCTTGTTCTAGGAGCAGTTTGGCCCGGAGAAACAAAGGGTCTGAACACGGGCTGAGGGTTTGGCGGCAGGTCGGGGTGATCTTTTTGTCACACAGGGCGTGCCGCTCTACCTCGGTCACCTCGGGACTCGATCATAAAGCTAGTGCTGAAGCGGTCTTCACATGGAGGAAGCCATAGCGGCTGCGCCTACCATATGCCCCAGGAGCCTCTGAAGGTTCTTTTCAGCCCTTTCTCACTTCTAGCACCAGCCGAACACACTATTCTTGAAGAGACATGTTGGACCGAGTCCTTCTCCTGAACTGAAAAAGAGATACTTAGCCCGTGGGCGAGATTACTCTCTCCCAGTTGACCTGAAGACCCAACTGGCTATGGAGCACTCGAAGGGTAGGACTTGTACGGATACTTCGCACTTTCGAACGCAAGAACACAGAATGGTCTGTGGAGCGGAAGGATAGAGATCTGAAGTACTGTCCTTCAGGTCGAACCCTGCCAGCTGGCGAACAAGAGGGAGCTGAGGGGTGCAAGGCTTTGCAGGGTCACACACCGCCAACTAGCCCTCTTGGGGCCCAGGAAGGGAGAAATATTTTTTTCTTTGAAAATGTGGGTGCCGGTGGCTCTGCTTTTTTAGGAACCAACGGCGGAACAACACACACACAAAACAAAAACTTAAGGGAGTGGCCGGGGACCATCTCCAAGAGCAATCCTCTATCCCTGGGTGGCCTGCCTTAGGTTTAACGCTTTCGCTGTCGCTTGCCACCTGGCTTGGCAGCGCCTGAAGCGGGCGGGGCATCCCTTCTGCGGCCGGCTGCACGCTGAGACCTGGGTGGAGGCTGCTGCGATGGTCCAGCAGGAGCAGAAGAGGCTGCCCTCGGCGACGAGCAGGCGGAGGATCTGCCACCGACGGACGGGTAGAGGCAGCAGCAGGTCGTCGGGGCAGGATGTGCCGGATGGCCTCCGTCTGGCTTCTGGCCGGCCGAGAACTGCTGGGCAAAGTTCTCAACCGTGTTGCCGAATAGCCCAACATTGGGAAATGGGAGAGTCCAGGAACCGAACCTTGTCCGCTTCTCTCATATCTGCCCGGTTGAGCCAGAGATGGCGGCACAGAGGGGGACAGAGCCCTACCGCACCCAGAAACGCACGGATGGAATGGCATCTTAAAAAAGATGCAAACTCACCCGTGTTTCTCTTTCAGAAATGGGACCCGTCACCAGTGCCGGAGCACAGAGGGAATGACCACGGCAACACTGAATTCAGCGAACTGAAAACAGTGAAGCACTCCATTTTCCGCCCTCAACCAGCCGTCAACACAAACACAGAAATTTGCTTGCTGTTAAAACAGCAGTTGAGAACTCAAAGCTGGCGACCACCGCTGCACTGCACAATAGAAACCACCAGCACTGGGAGAGTCTTCCAAAAGAACACCGACACACTCGCTCGTTGAAAAAACAGCACTCTTCGGAGACAAAGACGATCGGCTCCAAAGCGAAAGACAACTAGTGCGTGCATTCACTTCCGTATTTATACCCGTGCCGCGGGGGCGGAGTGTGTGATGCAAGTCACGCACGCCAATTCCATTGGCTCGTTTTAATAGTACTCAAAGATGACAGGCTCTCTAAGCCTGATCCCAATCAGTCGACACGTCGACTACGTCGAACGTGAGCAACTGAAAGGGAACTGGCCCTCAACTGAGCCTGGTTTCTCCCAAGTTTTTTTTTCTCTATAAGTTTTTTTTTCTCCATTTTGCCACTGATGGAGATTAGGTTCCTTGCCACTATCGCCTTTGGCTTGCTTAGTTGGGGACATTTAATATTCTACAATAATATTGATCTGGCTGCACTGACACCATTATAGGAGAACTGAACTGAGCTGGACGATGACATCACTGTTTCTCCAGAGCAGCTATATATATTTTTTTTTAATTAACTAAATTAATAACTTTTTTTGCAACAGAAATTATTTACTCAATTTATTATTATTTAATTATTATTATTATTTAATTATTTAATTATTATTATTTAATTATTTACTATTATTTACTAATTATTTACCAGCTTAAGTAAGCTGGACTATGACACTATTTTGTTCTAGATCTGCTGTACAGCAGAAACAAACTTTGTTGCACTATTTTCCTGTTATCACTGTAAAGCTGCTTTGAAACAATATGTATTGTAAAAAGCGCTATATGAATAGAGGTGACTTGACTATTGTTTGCATCATTGTGCTGTTAGAGGAATTGAAAAGTTTTTTTTCCTCATCTTTACAAAGTATATAGGCATAATGCAAAAGGCTTTGGTGTAGTTTGTAGGATGGACTATCTCTGTTTTTTGGTGTTAATATAGAACTTGGTCTATTTCAGTAATAATACAGGAATTTATTGTTTTGGTGGTTTGGTGATTGTTTTCTCAGATCATAAAAATGTTCCTTCATGAAATACATGTCATACTGTCGCTCGTGTTGTCGGAAATCGCCCACTCTCCATTGAAATTAATGAGATTGGGCCGCTTTTGTCACTGCTAGTGTGAATACACCTTTACGCCAAAAGAGTAACTCCTGACGCGATGTAGGAGTATCATAAGCTTTGACGCGTCTCGCAGTTCAAACAAATAGGGCTATACAAACGCATTTGCTTTGCTTCAGAAGGCCTTTATTAACCCCCCGGAGCCGTGCGGATTACGTTTATGATGGATAGATGGAATTTTTGGGGCTTCAAAATCTCATCCTCCATTCAAAGCTTGAAAGAGCCAGGACATTATTTAATACATCTCCGATTGTATTCGTCTGAAAGAAAAGAAATGTCATATACACATAGGCTTGAGGGAGAGTAAATAATGGGGTAATTTTCATGTTTGGGTGAACCATCCTAACAACTATCCTAATAAAATCACTTCAATCATTCTAAAAT